GTGGCAGGGTGTGCCCCGTGCCTGCCTCCAGGCTGCTGCCCGGACCCCTCTAGTCAGTCTGGCCTGACCAGAACCTTCGATGGCAGTGCCCGTCGTGGGGGCTCGGCACAAGGCGCTATGCCTTTCCTTCCAGTTGTGCGCAGCAGTACGTGCTGTGCTCCTCACTTTCTGGATTTACGCTAAGAGTTAATACCGGACAGTTGGGATGAAAAGAATTACAGATGGTCTAATGGAAAATTTGTCGGCTCGCTTCCCCCACCTAAATGCAAGTTAGACTACAGGATAAATTCAGGATGAGCACAGCTATCTTTCGTATTTAAAAATAAGATTAAACACAGCCTTTCCATACTTGATGAAAAATTTGCTGTTGTTGCCTTAGCTTTCACTTGCTAATATGTCTATTTACTGTGCTGCTTTCTCTTAAGCCAGTCCTTTGCACCACTGATCTTAAAATTAAATTCGTGAAGTCCAGCCCTCTTTATTTTTTTTTTAAAGCTGTTATTTTGTATCAAGATACCAAAACAACACTTGGATCAACCTATTAAATGTATAATTTAAAACTTGCTTTCAAAAACACGATTTTTTCAGTACTAAATACTACTTGTTTAGAACAAAGTTTATACTGTTCTCCTAGAATAACAGCACATGGTGGTGTGATAATCTTAAGTAGTTTAGTCTAAAAGTCCTCACTTCTTACACCTGGTAACTTGCACAGATGCTGACAAAAGAGGTTCTTAGTAGCCTACAGTACTGGCAGTAGCTAGTACTAGATGCTTACAAGGTAAATAAAGGCTCTGATACACAACCTGTGCTGTTACATCTAAGCCCTGTTAATTATGTTGCTTCCACCCCCAATACCTGCGTTGATGTTAAACATATGATAAGCAAGAAGAATTCATTAATGAGGAAAGAGGGTTGCAATCCTAAATCATACAAATTCTGTTGAAGTGCTAGGATTTTTTCTATGCTGAAGTTCCATTCCTGCATCAAGAAACCAAATGGTAGACCTTTGGATTTTGCAGAGAATAGCAATAAAGTAAATGTAATAGCATACAGTGCTTTTGCATAGACAGTCAGGGCATTGTTCATAAGGAAGAAAATACGAAATAGTTTAAGTTTTTAAGGTATGGTTTTGAAGCAACAGTTTCATTTAAAGAAAAAAAAAGACTTAGTCCTAGTTTTCTGCAGTGGTGATCTTTTTTTCCCCTCTTGTTTAAAAAAACAAAAATGTGTCTTTTAAGATTAGTTCTGTATGTGTGTATTTATGCATGTACCTTTGAATGAAAAAGAAAAGTGAAAAGCTGGCCCTGGAAGAGCTAATGTGTGCCAATTTGCAGTTTCAACTTTCAAACACCTGTGATGGAGAGGGTGAGTTAGGAAAAAATGAATTGTAAGAAATGTTTGATTATAGTGCATTATTTTGAGAAGGAAAATGCTACATTTACTTTTTTTTTTTCTGTAATTCCATTTCAGAATGTGGATAAAATCCAAGCACCCATATCTTCAATCAGAATATGATCTATTCATGCTATCACAATTTTACATGCTTCTCAGGTTACACAAATTACATATGAAGGAATGGGGCCATACAGTTAAGTGTGCCTGCTGCTTATACAATGGGTTTTCTTGTTCAGTGAACCACCTTCCATGATCTGTGTAATTTAAGCTGTGCAATGTATATGTGGAAGGTGGGAATTTCTTTTTGTGAGGTGAGTATTCAAGGCACGCAGTGCGTTATAGGTGTATATAGGCACCATCCCTGTGCTGGAGCCATTCCGACAGGCTTTGAGAAAATGCTGAACACCGCTCCCAACAAGTAAATGGGCCTTGTCTATATAAAATCTGAAAATTAACCAGACTATGAAAACAGAGGGATTTCTGTGGTACTGACTGACTAGAGAGAGATGGTGGGATGGTCTGGTTCATGAGGACTGGGGCAGGCATCGATAAGTTTCCCCAATGAAGACAAGTCCTTCTTATTTTAGGCCCATTGCCAAAGAAGCAATTTTAGGCTATGCAAAACTGTAGATAGGCAAGAGTGGAAGACCCTTAACTGTAATGATAAATAATGTTGTTTTGTTTGTTTGTTTTGCTGTAGATTTGGAATGGAAAATTATTTATGTGGGTTCAGCTGAAAGTGAAGAGTATGATCAGGTGTTAGACTCTGTTTTAGTAGGACCTGTTCCTGCGGGCAGACACATGTTTGTATTTCAGGTAAGTTTGATTTAACTGTTGCTAAAGGGCCTATGTTAACTTATTTAAAAATGACTGTATCAAACTAAGAGGCACTTGAAAAATAACAGTAAGCTAGAAAAATATTTCAGTGGGCTCTTCAGGTATGATACACCTTCCTTTAAAGTCTGTTCATAAGCTGTATTTCTTGCCCCTGGTATTTACACAGTAGTATTTTCACTTGTGGAATCAGTAATTAGAGATAGTGATATAAGCACTTTTCCTGTAGCTACGGATAATTTTGACCAGTCTGGTTTATGAATATATTCTAGATCACTCAGTAATCAAGAGTGCCAGTTACCTAGTTTACACTAGCACCATCAAGCTTAACGCTGCTGTAGTTGGTGGCAGTTTCAGACGATCAGGAGCACTAGGTTAATGTAGACAACATCTTCAGAAGATCAGGCCAACAAATCAATTGTAAAACTCGGCCAGAACAGTCAAGAGTTCATTTTTATTTGGCAGGATAAATGTTCAACCATGATGTTTGGCTAAGCATGCTAAATCACAACGAAATATAGCAGTTTTTAAAAGAAGACAGAATTCCAACAGTAGATAGCAGGCATTTGGGACACAAGTGTGTAGATCAAGACTGTCCAACATGTGACAGTCCAATGAAATACTATTGTTAAAGCCAAAAATTACTAAGAAGGAATAATGAAGGTAAGGAAAGCAGGGAAGGAGCAGCACTAAGATGGCTTACTAGCCTATTCTGGTTTCCATTTTAAGTCAGTGAGAGGGAGAAAAAAACTAAAGGAAACTTGTCTAAATTCTTAAGGAAGTTTTTGGTTTTTTTGTTTGTTTGGGTATTTTTTTAATTAAACCTACGATTTAGCTCACTTTTTTCTCTATTTATCAAATCCTACTATTTGTCTTGTAAACTGAGAGCAAAATCAATCAGCGGAAAAATCAGATTGAAACTGAGTACAGCTTATTGTATAATAACCATGCTACTTTCCCAAATACTAGAAATTCAGTTAACTATTTAATGGCAAATGCATGCTAGAATATGAGCATTAAAACAAAAAAGCACTAATGAATACACTTTCTTCTTTCTCACAGTTACTGTAACTGTTTTAAAAATAATACCAGCATTTGTGAGGCATCTTGATTAATCCTGTAAATTCCAGGAACTCTTTTTTTTCTCCTACCAGACAGGCTAAAGGAATAGGAGGATTAGGCTGGAGGTTACATTTATCAACCACATACACGCAAATCAGTCTTGAAACATTATTGTTTGGTTTTGGAGCTGAGCCTAATTTTTCCACACTACATATAAAGCAGATGTGTAACAAATGCATCATTTATTAACAGTTCTTCCATTATCAAGCCATTATGGCTTATGGCATTAATTGGTCTGAAATAGGTGATCCTCTGTTGCCCTCAAAGGGGCTACATTGTAGCACTATATCCAGAGAACTCAGCTGCCATTTACATTTCTAATTTAAAAGCCGCACTGTTCTCAATTAAGTTACGAAGATTCATTGTTGATAGTGATGGGAAGGAGCAGGAGGCAGGTACCTAAAAAGTCATGTTTTGTCTGTATAATTAGGAAGGTGTTGAAAATTAAACTTACTGGTCTTGCAGTTTCTGTAGGATGGACTCATCGGTTGTATCCCAGTCGTAAATGCCACTACAGCTACATTAGGAGTAGATATTTTGCTTAGATTGGAATAGGTACTATAAGAGAGTCAGTACTCCTGTACATTAAAGTATCCCTTTTATTTCTTATGGAAGTACTGTTGGCCTAAGTGCATTAGACTTCAAAAGCACTGGATTTCAGGTGAGGGTAGGACTCGGCTAATATGTACACAGGAGACCACCAAAAAACAAAGTGCTGCAATAAGCCTTTGCTGATGACTGAAGCCATTTTATTCACCACACTGAAGCAGCCTGGGAGATGGAGAGAACTAGCAAGGGAAGGGCAGAATGGGGCAAAGTACAGAACTGCGGGAGGTGTATAATGTGAAGAAAGGAGATTGTGTTCACTAGGGACAGCACAAGGAAAGGACCTTTGCAGAGGTGTATAAAATTTTCAGCTAATAATATGCTGTAGATTTTTCTAAACAGGAAGGTGGCTGAAACAGCAAGTAAAATGGAGTATCACACAGATAAAATACCAAGGATGGTAAAACTACCTTTGAAAAGAAGCTGTGCATCAGGTTGGGGAGTCAGCCTTACGTACAGAAAGATGGAGAACTATGTGCAAGTTTGAACTGCAAAAATCAGCCCTCTTTTTTTCTTTTGTGTTTGTTTTTTTTACATTTAAAAATATTTCAGTATTAAAGGCCTGCAGCTTGGCCTATTTGGTTCTAAATACCAAGATATAAGTAGTAAAACCTGATTCCTTCTCTGTATGCACATGGGGATTTGTTATAAATTCACAGAAACTTCTTTTTGAGAATATAAGCACATAAGTAATTTACTATCTTGAAGTGAGAATATGACCTTACACTAACTTAGCTACTCTGCAGTAATAGCTATGTGAGTAAATGTATCATGTGGAAGAGCAAGACAACAAATACATAGAGTGATTTTGTAAAATTCTTAAGTAATTTCTAGCATAAGAATGGCATATTAATAGTGATTTTTATGCAAAACTTAATCCCTACTGCCTCTTTTTGCCTACCAAAATATTTATTTGCAACTGTTCACTTATCAAATGGTCATACCAAACTCTTGTTTTTTCTTGGACCTGTATGTGATCATGTGTTTCCTGGGCAATTAAGAGGTTTGACATCTGAGGCAGGAAGTTCAATACTTGAGGGGAAAAAAAGCAGCTTCTTTTTTTTAAACAGTGTTCAGTGTCTTTTCCACTTGGCAAAACAATGCTTGTGAGTTAAGTAGGATTAAAACAGAGTATTTCCTTGGGTTCACAACTGTGTCATAGGATATTACAGGACACAAAATGACAATAGGAAGCTGGAAGAGCTAAAATCCCACATAAGGTGGTGAGTTGAGTTTCATGGGAGGTTAAATAGAATTGTGTCCTTTTCCAATATATTATTTTATAACTGCCCACTGTGGAATTTAAAGTAATCAAATGGTCCTGGGCACTGTTCAAAGATGACTACTGAATTAAAGTAGTGATTTCATCTGTATTGGCAGTTCTTGTGATTTCTTCAAGTTTCTACACTTGTCCTATTCCTTGGTCATCTTTTCCATTCCCCTGTGCAACTTGTAAAGCCATTTGGTCATTTTCTGTTCCCTTAAGGGCTGGAGGAAGTTGCGTTCTACCTGATTCCTTGGTTGTTTCTCCTCACCCTGGTGTATTTGTACCCCAGTGAGAGGTCTGACTCATCTAATTCTTCTGTGAAGTGCCTACAGCTTCTTATAAAAAGCTAGACTGGTTTGAAGGCTTAGAATTGAAGTAGCAAAGAGCAGAAGCCAGTGATGCGTGACCGCTAGCTTCCAAATTACACAGTGCTTGAGCATATTTACCACAGAAAAGTAGGGAT